GGATCTGGATCGCGCAGCTTCGCACCAAAGTTCCAGCAACTTCTATGATGGAAAAGGTCGTCCAGCTTGTGCAGGTGCAACCTTGCACCTCCTCGTTCCATGTGAGAACCTCCATGGATTGGTACTAGTGCACTATGCACAACTCGTCGTATATGCAGGTAGAACGGATTCTCATGGCTCCAGGTCATATCTGTAGGGTTTCGGCAGCCCGGGATCTGCAGTTCATGCAATGGCATCAGAAGTATCCAGAAGCTTTCGCTTCATTCCCCATTATTCATTATGTCAAGAAAATGTCCATATAAACGAACATTATGGTTCGATAGTCTGGGGCTACGAAGGTCTAATGTGACGGCTGGGGGAGGCAAAAAAATGTGACGGCTGGACATCCTGGAGACTTTGGGTGTCCTTGTCGCCCATGGCCTTGCCACAGCATCTACCCGATTGCCGACGTTTGTAGGATTTGGGAGACTATGCCATGCCTGGTTTCCTTCGCATCAACAGCTGGCAACTTTTTTTGAGCATGGGTCCGTACATCTGCATTAATCCTAAAAAAAGTATCTTCACCTTAGAACCAAAGCGTGAAAAGAAGAACCGACAGCATGTTCTGTTCGGTGCCCAGGTGGGCGGCCTCCATGAAGAGAGCTGACAGGACAAAGCTCCCGGGCTTTGGGGTTCAGAATCCAGAGCCTAAGACTCAGAGTGCCACCACAGCATCGGTTCATCCCTTCAGGTTATTAAAGGGCTCGTAGCATTCTTTTACATCCCATGCTTTGACTCCCCGTGGGCTGAATCTGAAACTATGTGCAATCGGCGCGGCAATGTTAGACAGGACGAAACGCGCCGTCTCCCTGTTGCACGTGCCGGACCATGGAAACAGGCGACTTTCTGTAACAATGGGGCGGGGGGGGAAGGGAACCCTTGAGAGAGATGTTTCGGTATGGTCTGAGGTAGAAATTTGCAAATCCAACCACACCCTCCGGTGCTTTTCTTCAACATGGGCTGGAGGCATGATCCCGCACTCGGGCGCTTTGGCATACCGGACATGCCTGAAGCTTAGTGAAAGGAACTATGGTCCGCGGGGGAGGCGTTTCTCATCAGTTCGGAGTTCAGCACATTTCCCACAAATGGATGCTCTCCCGATTGAAAGAGCAACCACTGAGTTGAGGTACATCGTCCCATGTTCTTTGTCCTTCAGGGCCATCGAGGCCAAAATCAGTGTAAAAACCCTCAGACATCAGCCTGGAATCCAAATGCATGGTGAACGGACGAGCTCATTCCGCACGTTCTAATTATGAAGGCCCCTATAACAATTGAACATCGCATCCTCAGAGTGGGACCGCGCAAGGATGGTGGTGATCAAAGGAGTGCAGCTCTGGGCCCACTACGATATCATGAGCTGGAGGCTCAGGAGTCCCCCTCTCCTTTTCTGGATGAAGTTCCTGAAGGTCAAGCTCCCTCGGATCGTAGTTACAGTTCTTCGGAGTTCTTCTGGATTTGAACATGCAGGAAGATCTTCTGCAAAAGTCAATCAGATGCTTAGCATCGACTTCATGACTCGATTTATCAGGCTCATCAGTTTATCAGCTGCTTCAACAGCGTATCTGACACAGATTAGCTCGTAAGATAGTGAAGATCCTCTTAGCCTTGCGCATCTCGCCACGGGTGCGATGTGCTAAAGAGCTCCCTGGTGATGAGGTATGGGCCGTGATACAGCACAGGATGTTTTGCGGAGTCGGGCCTCTCACATCTCCCCCCGCCACCCAGAAAAGACTGCAAGAGCGCGGCGTGAGGTCATCAATCTCAAGCACTTCAGGCCTCATCCCCAGAGATGATGTTTGGCCCTTGTCCTGGAGATGGCAGGGTTCCAGCCGTTGCAGAGGACGGACTAGTGACCATTGATAGTCTGGCGGCTGCAGTGAAGGGAAATCCGTGCTGAATTTCTGGCATCGGAAGAGTGTAAGGAAATCCTGGCCGTGCTTCATCCGATTATAGGCACCAAGTCTAGATTCTAAGCGCAGCAGCCGCAGCCCGAGCACAGGCTCAACTTCACTCAAGTAGCCGCTGGCTTAGCTACTTGCGGACAGCTCTAGAGAGATTTCAGTGTCTTCGGGATGCAGGATTTTGATGTTGGCGTTGCGTGTTGTTCGTTGGTCAGCATTTGGAACATGGAGCTCGAGCGGCATAGGACTTCAAGATTCTTTGTCCAACCGTGCCTGCACACGGAAAGTCTAAACACGGACGGTTCTCATGTCCTCTGGCTTTCACGATGGCCTTCGATACCTTTACGTTCTTGTGGAATGGATCTGGCGCTGAGGACATAGCTCGCAAAAGGTGCAGAGAGATTCGCCACCCGAGCTCATGCAAGTAAAGCTTTGCCCAACACCATGTTGAAAATGATCTGTTGGTTTCTGCTAGATGACATGCACAGAAAACCTCATTGCTGCGTAAACACACTGGCCTTTTCAGTAGGCAATAGCAGTAGTGTAGTGATGTCGTTTGCGATGTTGAGCTGTTTGCTCCCACCTTCTGCATCCGAAGCTGATCATGCATGTCCGCTCCGAGACTTGGATCACATTTGGGGGCGCACGCTAGTCATTCGACCGGGCGCGGACCCCAGTTTTGAAGAGCCGCGCGATAAAGCTGCCAAGCACATCCTTGCCGCCCAAAGCTGCGATGGTAGACAGTGTTCAGATGCCCGGACTTCATATAGCGACTGCTGCTGCAGACGTGGAGGCGTCCCATCCCTGTGTCGGAGTAGGAGATTTTATGGCAGATTGAACCATTGAGCGCCAGTGCAATGCCTTATATGTCAGCAAACGCTTGCGCAACAATGGCGAATGCCATTTTGGCTCTGGTTGTGGCCGACGCGAAACTGAGTGAATGGCGTCATCGTTTGCTTGCTTCCGTCTGCTCCTCTCCCCTTTCCCCACCACGGAAAGACCGGGAGGACCGCCTGTGCTGCTCGCTATACGACCAAAAGGAGTGCCGCAGGTGACGCCACAAGCACCAGACAAGACCAGAATCCAGGCCAACATGAGCGACACCAAGCCTTCTGGAGCCAACCATGTCGGTTCGGGTGGGGCTGCGGACCAGGCCTCTACGAGACGGAGGCGGGACGCCTGCCCTGCTCCGCTATCCTGGCTCAGGCGGCCTCTTGGCAAGATACCACGCCCCTTTCGATCCGGCAAGGTGATAAGATTCACCCCTTCCCGCAATCTGTCCTTCAGGAGGTCCGGAACATCCTTGGGGGTGCTTCCTCGGAAGTGCCGCCAGCACAGCCGGTTCACCTGGACCTGCTTATAGTGATCTCGCACACAAAGCAGCGGCACGGGTCCCACGTGGAAGAGCCCACCTGGAAAACTTCAAGGGTATGGCAGTCGAAAGAAGAACTCCGAGTACAATCGTGGGAAGAAGACGCTTCTCCTCCTCGCCAAGGATGGGACAACTACCGTCGGCGGAGAAGTACATGCATGAGATCAGGAAGACCTTCTGGGAGGAGGTTCCCATGGGCATGGTTGAAGGTCCCCTCTCCAAAGAGGGAGCGACCAAATGCTGCGGATGCCGTCCGGAGGAACTTTTGCCCGGGGCCGTTTGCAGGGATTGACAAATCTGACAAAATCAGGACGATCTTCGATGGCTCCAAGAATGGTGCCAATGAGCACAGCCAGAACAACACCAAAGAGAGGGACACTTCTCCAATTGTCATGGACTGTGTCGACGTTATCCACTCGCTCACGGCAGCAGCGGCCCAAACCAGGTCTGCGCGAAAGGGTCCGACGAGACCCAGATGTTTCGTCAATAAGGTTGGAACGTATGCAATGGCCGGCGCTCAGCTGTATTGGGGTCGGCTGGCTGCTCTGCTGCTTCGACTCCTGAACCCCCTTTTTCCCTCAATTGACTGGCTTTGACGATGACTTCCTTTGGCTCCTCCGAGTCGGGAAGTCGGGGGTTTTGGGAACCGCCATTCTTCTTATCCAGCTTGCTCTAGGGACCGCGCTTAGCTGGAAAAAGGCCCTGATGGCTCAGATCAACACATGGTTGAGATTCGTGATAGATCCTACGGGCCTGACGCCCAGATGCCCAGGGACAAGCATCTCCTGGTGATGGAGTTACATACTGGAGGACCTCGTCCAGGGTAAGGTGTTCACGCACGAGGACATCGAGAAGGGACTTGGTTCTCTGATCGGCTCCTTCGCGGCAGTCCTACGGGAGATTTTCAGAGACCCGCACAAGCAGAAATCCCATTTGCCGCAGAGTCCTCTTGGTGGGCCTCTAGTGATGCGAGCGCCTCGGTTTTCTGGTTTTATTACGAGGTCACGGCGGCTCGTCATCCATGGGCCTTCGTCCAGGTTTCGCCGAAACGCATCGCGGTTTTGGAGATGCTGGGGTCGTTGGTCCTGATGGCCTTCCTCATGCATTGAGAAGAACGACCAGGAGAAGCGCTTTCTTATCATTCCATTGCTCTCTGACAAGGGAACATGTACTCCCCGTGGACAGAAAGTGCAGGAGAATGCCGTCGGCAGCAGTCCTGATGGAACGAATGCTCCTTTTACACCGTAAGGGATGCACCCTGGCTCCCTCCCATGTCAAGCGTGATTTCAATCAGTGGGCGGACGAGCTCATGCACCCCGACTATACCAGGGCTTGAATCCGCCGACTACTGAGCGGTTTTCACCTTTTACACCTAGTGCTGGAATCTGATTCCTTCCAGTTTGCGACACTCCCTCACCTGTGGCCCGAGTGGTGCACGGTGAGGCCGAGAGTTCCCCCACTCGCTCGAATGCACATCAGTGCCACACCAGTGCTCTTTTGGATTATTTCGTAGGGGCCCTATAGTTTAGGCTTTGGGAGCCTTTGGCCCAGAATCACTTGAGGGCACCCTCTCGGATTGCCGCATTGGAGGAAACGGGGAAGTGTGCGTGTGTTGTCCTACGGTTCCGTTGTGCTCCTGTTTACTGACATTTCGAGGCCCTTCTTCGCCACGCAGCGTGCAGGGAGTCATGGCATGGCTCCGGGCGATCTACCCTCCACAGGTGCACTGGGGTCGTTGGAGCAAAGCTCTATAGCCAAGGTCCTGTGAGGGCACACCGCGTGGAGAAGCACGGTATTTCCCAGCAGTGTGCAATAAGTCCTCCGCAGGTCATAGCTCCACCGAGGCTAGCGCATCACTTCCTGTAGAAAATTTGTATATGTTTCATTGCTTTGGTTTTGGCACGGTTAGGAAGCAGTTGAGTCAGATGGTATACACAAGGCCTGTGTCCGAGGTGAACTCAAGGTTTTGCAGAAACTGCTGTTTCGGAGTCCTGCAGTCTTGCGTGCTTCCTCATTCCGCGAGGGATTACCATCTCCAGAGCATCTACAAGAAGCCCGGAGCTTGATACCCGGGAACAGACAGTTGATATGTACTTCTGGCGGCCTCACGAGTATTTTGCTCAAAATTATGCTTCAGAAGCTTTGAGGGGGCAACCTAGCACCGTATAACGTAGCTTTGCAGGAGCTTTGCAATTGGAGCTCAGACTGAAGTGTATGGGGAGCCAACGGCTCCTCGAGCCGGTGCTTTGACTAGACTCTGGGGCGCTCAATGGCTGGAATGGTGAGTTGCGCATCTAAGTAAATCCTTCTCTTCGTCGGGGTTGCCTGTTTAACAAACAAGCCCAATGCAGAAGCACTGACATGCTGCAGGCGAGTGAGTTTGACAGAATGCAGCAAGCACCATTTCATTTCATGGACTTACCTCCTTTGCCCCGTGCTTGCAGCACTGGCCCAAGAAACTCGTTTGCCTTGTCTGCGAAGAGCAGCGCTCCATAAACATGTTTCAGTCCTTCAGGCACCAGGGTTGGCGGTTTGCATGTTCGAGCTACAGTCTGTGCGCTATCTATCGTTGGTGGGCAATGCTGCTGCTGCCGCTGCTGTTGCTGCTCCTCCACCTGTTCTTCCTGCTTTGCTCTGCTGCTGCGGCCGCTGCTAAATAGTGCCACTGCTACAACTGATGCATCTGCTACTGCTACTGCTACTAATGTCAATGCTGCTGCTGCTGCGGCGGCTGCTGCGGCTGCTGCTGCTGCTGCTGCTGCTGCTACTGCTACAACAACAACAACAACTACTACTACTACTACTACTAAATACAGAGCTCACATACAGTTGTTTTTTTTCTGCTACTTCCACCAACGTTGTAGCACCACATTCCTTAGCGTCCAATGTCTCTTTCGTTGGAGAGCGGGACAAGCAACGCATACAGAACTCAGTGGCCATTTACTTCGCACTGACAGTCGCCACTACTACCACCGACACCACTGCCGCCACAACGACCGCAACTATTTCCGCCACCCCTCCGCTTACCACTGCCATTGCCACTGCCACTGCCACTGCCACCACTACCATCCCCGCCGCCACCGCTACCACTACGTAGCACTACCACTACCACTACGACGCTGACGACGACGACGACGACGACGACGCCTGCTGCTGCTCCTCCTCCTCCTCCTCCTCCTGCTACTACTGCTGCTACCACTGCTACTGCCACCACCACCACTACTGCTGCTGCTGCTACCACTGCTGCTGCTACTACTGCGAAACTAAAACTACTGCTGCTGCTGCTGCTGCTGCTGCTGCTGCTGCTCCTACTACTACTACTACTACTTCTCAGGAGCCTGGGGCCAAGGCATAGCACGGAGAGGCAAACTGAATTCAACATCCCAGCATCCGAGTCCGATGCTACACACCTTAAGCTGGAAGTGCCTGGATGCAGGAAAGACATGTGCTCTTGTATATACCGCCTCCAACAGAACTGCATTCGGCATTTATCCTGCAAGATTCAGAAATCGCCGTCAGGTTGATGTTCGTTCGACAGTTCTATGCAATCGCTGGGTGAGAAGTTGCTGACAGGATTCTGGCCTTCTTGGCTTGCGCGGCCTCTCTGCGCGGGGAGCGAGAGAAGTTCACGTCCGAGGAGGCGAAGCAAAGGTTTGGGAGAGTTCAGGATGGAGTCGTGAGGCTGGGTCTCATGCCCTTGATCGTGATGCAGGGTGCACCGGCTTCGAGTGGTATGAGAGAAACCGGACTCTGCCTTCGTCAGTCACACTGCTGACACATGTTGCTGCATGCATGTTGTTAGTCTCAAAGTTGATGCCAACTCAACAGCTGTTGCCAGAGAACCACGGCACCATGCAAGAATGAATATGTACGGTGACTTATTAATGACAAAAGAGTTGTTACAGCAATAAGTTGGAGCAGGCACAGGTGAAGAAGGAATGGGCACCGGCAGTAGTACAAGAGGGCAGCACTGGTCATGGTCGTCGTCGTAGTAGCCGCCAGTAGCAGAAGCAACAGCAGCAAGACGAGTAGCAGCAAGATTATTGTTATACTTATAATGATCATAAGTGTTATTATTACGAGTAGTAGTAGTGGTGGTAGTAGTAGTAGTAGTAGTACGCGGTAGTAGTAATAAGAAGTAGCACGTAGTACGTAGCAAGTAGTGGTAATAAGTAGTAGTAGTAGTAGTAGTAGTAGTAGCAGTAGTAGTAGTAGTAGTAATAATAATAATAAGAAGTAGCACGTAGTACGTAGCAAGTAGTGGTAAGTAGTAGTAGTAGTAGTCGTCGTCGTCGTCGTCGTGGTCGTAATAGTAGGAGGAGGAGCAGTAGTAGTAGGAGGAGGAGGGTTGCATGCAGCTTTCGGCTCTTGACTCTTGACGTCATTACGCCGCCAACCCACCTCGGTTTTGTTTTTTTGGCACATGCACTTTGAGGGAGAAAGTCATCAACAAAGTGATAGACCACAGCCGTAGATTCATGCCGATGTAGTGAAGATACCAAACATACGGCACAGTGTGAGACTGAGATCGGTTGCCACAGGATGATGAGGCCGCGTACAAGCAGTTCCGTCAAGAGTGCTTTGGCTGCCATGGCAACACTGACGTATTGACTTTCACGCACTGATGCCCCAACGATTCGGTTCATGTTTGCAAAGGACAGCTCAATGCCGGAAGTCGCCCGAAGACCCTGGACTTTTGTGCAGGTGAGTAATATCCAGCCAACAGGTTCCCTACACTGCTTGGCTCTCTGGGTCATTCAGTGTCTCTCGTTTCTTCTTCCGAGCTTTGATTCGGGCGGGCCCATGAGCCTGAAATTGTGCTGACACGGCATGACCTGGAATTTGCTGTCGTCCTGGTGCGAAAATAAAGCGTAGTTCAGGTGCTGCGTTGACCGCCTATTCTCATAGTTTTCTGTTGAAGTTCGTCATCGGACATGGGAGCAGGCAGAATTTGGTCCGCCAGAAGAGCAGAAGGCCAGGTGGTATGAGGCTTTGCGGGCGGTTCAGAAGAAGTGAGGTTTAACCGCACTGCCGACGACAGCATCGCCTACATGGAGCGCTTGGCACACTTCAGCTGCTTGGCCGGATGCAGGAATTCAAAGTGCATTTCCAGCAGCCCATGCGTGCTCATCATCATCCGCAAAGCCTGAGCAAGGACCGAAGCCAACAGTAATCCTCAGCTGCATGCAAAATATTCAACACACTCTGGTGCCCGTGGCCGTGATGCACAGGGCGCCCCCACGCGGGCAAGCACGCATTGCCGTTATTATGGCCATCCCTGTCATCATCATAACCATAACCGCCATCATCACAGGACGACGAGGAGCTGCCCCTGATTGTTTTGGTGGTGCTGCTGCTGCTCCCACACCCACTATTCTACTTTTCCACGGGCACTACTGCTGCTCGTGCTACTGCTACTTGACTGCCGCTGCTGGTGCTGCTGCTGCTGCTGCTGCCGCCGCTGCTACTGCTACTGCTACTAGTACTGATAGTCCCGATTATAATATCAATATAGCATGGTATTCTCCCAAACCCTTTTCTACTCGTATATAATTATTAAGGCCCCTACCTCTACATGAAAAGATGGTCGACTGATGCAGTAGAAGAGACTCAGTGCCGGACAACTACCTAGATCCCAGCAATGTGTCTGTAGGTAAGCTTACTATTACCTGTTTGTGCGCTGCGTGTTCTGGCGATTAACGTTGTAGTAATTAATTGGTTTGTTGCTGTTCCGCTTGTGTCCGTCTCAGCCACAACCTGCCTGGTGCTGGCTGCTCAGGGCGGTTTCGCAACGCAGTAGCGCGACACAATGCTCGTCCAGATGCGAGCTGGAGGGCAGCGCGGGCCTTACATCGGATGCTTCAGTGTGATTCGGGTTTTGAGGAGACGAAAGGCCCGAACGCAGGTTCGGCCCCAGCATCGTGTCTTGGGGAGTTGCGCTTGCACATGCTGTCGGGTGGAGAATCTGCGCCAAGCCCCACACGCGGCTGGCCTCGCTGTCGATGCTGCATCTCTGCTTTGGAGTCGAGTTGTCTCTACAAGCCTTAATAAAAATCCCGCCTGTCACCCTGAAATTTGCTGCAGGTGGTCGGCCCTTTTGCCGACTATACAGATGCAGAGTTCAAGGCCTTGCATGAAGTCCACGCGAAGTTTGGAGCTCTTTCGTGGCCCAGAGCGAAACGTCGCTAATTGCGGTTTACGACATTAAGTCCTACTGGCAGTTTGGGTAGGCTCAGTGTATACGGCCTGAGCTCTGAGCCCTGACGTTCTGTCGGACAAAGTCTATGTTCGGGGTCCAGGAATGAGAAACATCAGCAAACAAAGCTCGAAGGAAGGGAAAGTGCTTGTCCGACTTTTACAGTCTCTTGAGCCGAGGCGCCCAAGAAGCGCTGTCAAGACTCGTGTATTGTCTGGATTTCGAGTTCCAATATAGTTAGATATCGTTTCTAGAAGCTCGTACAGCTCTTGGCTCGGCGGCAAGCACTCTGAGCCCCCAACCCTGAACATGTTCTTTCAACCCTGAGCATGTTCTGCAAATTCTCAGATTTTTCTCTAAACCCTGGTACCCGAACGGCCGTAAACCGGGAACCCCAAGACCCCTCTGCAGGCGCTCCTTGGACATCGCCGCACCTTCAGACCAGAGGTCCAGCTTTGGTCAGCTAAAGAGACGGCACTGCTCAGATGGAAAAAAGCTGGAGGGATCCTTTTTAACAGCTTTGCTACATGAGATTCCATCTCCCCCCCAAAAACAAGACTTGCGTTTTGAGATCCAGGAAAATGGAGAATTAAGTATGGATGATTTTGAGCAGACGCAGTGTCACAGCCAGTCAGTACTCCGTACAGCCTGTGGCGATTGGCTACGTACACCCGTCTGCCATGAAGCCAGAATGCTGGAGCCCATTTCCGTTCATTGGAGGTCAAAACCGCAAGCTCCTTCCTGCAGACGGAGCCCCACAAGACAGTTGCAAGCACTGCTGCTTGGCTTCAGCCGTGACCTGTTGGTTGTGCTTGTGGTCCCTCCCTGCGCACACCCACGTTTGGCCAGCACTGCAT